AGCTTTAGGGTGGCCGAAGATTAATGTCTATGTTTATAGCCTTACTTCTGATAGGGTAGATAGAGTGCAGGTAAAAAAGCCCAAATCAGAAAGCACCCAGTTCAAGTGGACTTGGTGGGTAGAGTGACTTGGGTTCTATGTACAATTTGAAATGCTATACGTATGATCTAGTACTGTAGAGTAAAAAGCACTTTATCACTGGAAAGTACATTTCAACCATTTTTTTTTTGATGGAATATAGAGCAAGTTAAAACTTGAACATTAGAGAATCTTTGTTCCGTTTCTTTTCTTTTCTTTTCTTTTTTCTTGTCTTACCTTGTCTCTGAAAAGGAGATATCTTTTTTTTTCCAAGGTGCAGTAGCATGAGCATTTGTATCTGGTTTCGATGAAAATGATGCTAGCTTGATTTTATGCTAGATTTTGTATCTTTCCCAAGTCATCCTAGCAAGTAATTTGAGCTCAAGTAATTTCAAAGAAAAATGTTTGATGGACTATTGTCAGCACTCAGGATAAAGTGTGAGTCATGGATGGAAAGAGAAATATCCAATAAATCATGGTTAATTAGAATTATTCTTTTATTGCTTTAATCCAATTATAGTGACCAATTTGGTGCAACTTAAATGATTTGAAGTAAAAATATAAAGATGTTAAGATGTGAGGGAGGGCAAGTTATCAAGTTTGAGGACTAGTTATCAAGTCTGAAGTAATCAGAGATCAGATCTCTGATTACCCATTTTCAGGTTTGTGTTGAACTTTTCTGAAGACAAACAGCACGTTCTCTATAACTTTTTGAGCTCATGCAGAGCTGCATTTGTACCTTGCGACAGCGCATATTAGTTGAGATAGGTCTTCACTTCCAATATAGTTACCTAATGTGTTCATATTTCTCTATGCCAGTTACCAATTACTGCATTTATTTGCAAATCATTGGCTACAATATTTGATTCATGGCGGTAATCCAAAGTACTGAAACTCTCCATTGTCAAGAAATCCTCGATGAAATACTCTCTTCTTCGTCTGAAAAATTCAGAATGTCTTCGACGAGCTTGATATATACAAATTGCAGTCAGCCTCGATAATGAAAATTTTTTCATCTCAATATCAGTAGTTTAATGCATCGCCATAATTCAGTCTATAGATTATAACTGAAAAACCAAAAATTTCCCCTCGACATTTTATTAATCTGCAAAAAAAAAGTAGAATCCTTATCAAAATCTCGCGTGCAAGTACTGGAAACTGAACTTAAATTTCATATTCACAGCTTCATTACAGACATCGATCCATTCTACAAGTGAAAACTCTAAGAATCCAACTTTCAAAAGTCTAGAGGCATCTCCTATATGTTCCTACATAGGTAAATAAAAAAAAACACAAAAAATGAAATAACTATCTACAAAATTATCCAGAGAGAACATTTCTCCTCCTCCGTTGAAGACCTCCTCATCTAGTTCTGCGTTGGGTTTGATCTGCTTGGTGGCATTTTCCTCAGGCTTGCACCGATTTCTTCATCGGTCTCCATAGCTTGTGAATGCAGACCCTCCACACCAACAGAACTTGAATCCGAAGACTTCATCAGTTTTCTCGGCACAAACTTCCTCTCAACTGATACTGAGGACTTTGCGTCAGTCGCTACCGCGGAAAAAAGGAGAAAAAGAGCTAAAAGGACACAAAAAGCTTTCGAAATTGCTTTCATGGTCATTTGGTTCAAGAGGAAATAACGTGTTGGATCGTCAAAGGAGCGAGCAGTGCACGTATATATAAGGGACGTGTAGGAACAATGATAGAAATGAGGAGGCAAGTGAGTGCATGTGACATGAGAATTACATTAATATGTCTTGCATTGGATCACTCAATACTTTGTATAATATGCATATATTAATTGTATAAACTATAAACTAGTAGCTATAGGATCAACTTTCATGAAGAGGAAATTAAAAATAAAATTGCACATCATAATCTGCATTATGAGGGATTCTATTAAAAATATGTAAGAATATAAGAAGCCTTTATTGAAGAAAAGAACTTGATAAGCTTTTGTTGAGTGTTAGAATTAATATAAAACTATAATCATTGATCATCACCGTAACTTTAGAGTTTTGGTGTAATGGTTAGAGGAATTAAATTTAAGATGATATCAGAGCAACCCAAGGTTCAAATCCCACCGGACCATAACTTCGGAGTTTTGATGTAATGGTTAGAGAAATTAAATTTAAGATTGAGCAACTGAAAACAAAATTTCATGTTGCCTCATCGGAAATAAGAACTGTGCTGTGTACCTTCTCGCTGACACTGGTTTTTTTTATGGGAAATACAGAAAATTCATTAGAAATGTGTAATATTGTGATTTTGATGTGGTGTAAATTGTTAAAAGACCAGTTTTACTCTGGAAAAATCTTACTAAGGTGCGGTGAGGTGGCCTCATCATGTGATGCTCAGTTGAGTATTCTAATTTCCTGACGCTCCCTCAGAAATCACAATCTCTTTGGTTTTAGTTTATAAGAATCATGTGATAATCTCAGGATCATATCTCTAATCAATGAATATATTTTAATAACTTAATCACAAAGTGGGTTTAGGTTAAAACTCTGACCCTCTTAGCTGGGTGAGCAAATAGCTTTCCAGATTTTGCATATAAGACAAAACTACCAGGGTAGGCATAAAAGTAGCCTGCGGCGCACCCTTTTGGGGCTTATTTTCACTTTGGTACCCAAACTTTACACATTTTCACTTTGACACCTCAAAGTATTTTTTTTAATACTTTGATACTTTAGTAGTAGTAGTGGAGGGTGTAGGATGTGTTGAGAACCGCATATGAACTTAACTGAAAATCGAATGAAATCTAAACGGGAGTGTCAAACCGTAAAGAAATACGTTTGAGGTATCAAAATGAAAAGATGGGTAACCTTTGGGGTACCAAAGCGAAAATAAGCCTTATTTTAACTTGTAGATTCTAAATTTAAAGACTGCATGAGACTGGTGACAAAGAGTGGGAGGAAACATCACATGCAATAGGAAAGAAAAGAAGCTTTAAGACTTGACTTTTCTACTACTCTACAAATGAGACTGCATCTCCCCTGTATTTCTCTACATTCAAAAAGGAGATGTATAGAATATGGAACATGGATTTTTTTTAGCAACATGAATCTTATACATCTATAATTCCACATGCCAAAGATCAACATGATACTTGATAAACCATTGATTCTTCAGGTAACCAATGATGCAAAAGTGAGGCCTCTAATGAGGTCATCTTCAATTATATTTATATCTATGGAAAACTTTTGTCAAGTTCCAGATGCACCTCAAATAATAAACAAACCAAAGAAGACCATCATATTTAGGGGTGCATTCGGTCTCGATAAAGCTCGGATATGATACTTATCATATCCATATCCGCTTACCCATCTTGGATACGGGTGCTGATACCGATATACCTCGGTAAGAAAAATTTACAACCGTATCCGATTTTCCGATATACTTTGGTAAGAAATTTATAACCATATAAGATAAAATCGGATACGGTTACGGATATACATGTGGATATATAAACGGATATGCATGCGGATACAAAACAGACATGAGAAAACTAGATAGTATTGAGAAAAACATAGTTCATGTGATACAAAAGAGTTCGTTAATATGTTCAAACTAGATAGTATTGAGAAAAACATAGTTCATGTGATACAAAAGAGTTCGTTAATATGTTCATTATAACTAAAAAGTTAAGATTAGAAAAAACATAGTTCATGTGATACAAAAGAGTTCGTTAATATGTTCATTATAACTAAAAAGTTAAGATTAGATATCTTGATTATCAAAATTAACCACAACCATAATCTACGAATCGAAACTATCGTAAAAGTATGATTAATATGTATTCTGATATTTCGGATATAAATACAGATATTTCACTACAGAATCATATCCGTAACAAAATCCTATCAGTTTTAGATTTGAGTAACCATATACGTATCTTAACAGAGACGGTTATGGATATTTCCTCGGATACGGAATACGGTTTAGCACCCCTAATCATATTTCTACAACGCCTCATTGTTACGTGAGAATAAAGTAAGCGACAATGAAATAAGGATATGAGCATAATGGAATTGATATAGGAATGGCCTCATTGTTACGTGAGAATAAAGTAAGCGACAATGAAATGAGGATATGAGCATAATGGAATTGATATAGGAATGGAATGCTCATTCACATTCTCATGCTTGGGTACGATTAGAGAACTAAGTAGGAATATGTTTAAGAAGGGTATATTCAAATTTTAATTTATTATTTTCTTCTCATTTAAATGGGAATATCAATTTATTGATAACTTATTGGGAATAGCAATTCCCACATCAAGTGGGAATTAATGAAAAATGAGAATGTCATTTCTAACATCTAAAAACGCATCTTGTTTGGTAAGCATGAATGAGAACTTGGAATTGCATTCCATTCTAATTCATTCCCGCAAACCGACGAGGCGCAAGTGAATGTGCATGAAAAAGAAGAGGATGAAATACTGTTATTTGAGAATTATAATACACGAAGATCAGTGGGGGAAAAAGTTAGAAGAAAGCTATAGTAACAGTAAGATAGTCTTTAAATCTTAATTTTATTGTCTTTCTTACAAAATTACCTCTTACGATTTACAACTTTACCAAGCTGCAGCCTATGAACTACTTTTTGATTCAACGTTTTTTATTTTAAACTCAACAAGCCTTTGCTAACGAGAGACTCATTCTGCTCAAGCGTCTCCTTCAGGGTTATTTTTGCTTAACCTATAAACTATCAACTCTTTTGCTAGGCATCATTGTTATTGAAATGTAAATAAATGATAATCAAAAGAAAGAATAAAGGAATTGTATCAAAAAATGTCATCAACCTCCAGCCTCGATATGAAATAAGAAAGAAACGCCAGTATAAGATCTTGAAATAGATCAACTTGGTTAAGTGAGAGCTATAGCATAATCGAGGGCGTTACGATATTTGTTATTCAAAGATATATAAAAAAAACTTAGGTTAACAGAAATCAAATAAGCAAAAACCAAAGAGTGGCTGCACATAAAGCTGTAGCTTAGCAGAATCAGCGGTCTAATATAGTCACATTCTCATTACAAGAAAAACTACCGCTGCAGCAATAAAATTAACAAACTTATGAACCCCGAGTTAATAAAGACCTACAAAAGTCCCTTACAACTCTACAAATGTGTTGCCGATAACCCATGTTGCCATTTTTAGCACCAGTAGAGAGAGAAAACAAGCGCACAATTATGAACAGCCTGCAGTTCTTCGAACTTTCTACCTGCAGGGACAAAAGAAAGCTTTATCAACATTTCATCGTCAGAAGGGAAACCTCCCCTTTGCAAGCTATCAGAATGATTTCCAATTCAAGAGTATTTATTCCACTGCACTTAATAATTCCAATCAATCGATCTGTTGGATACCAAAGGGAAAGGAGAAAGAAATTTGAGGATACACATTGTGGCTTCTAGAATCTTGAGTATCAACCTAACAGTTACGGGAACTACTTATACATTTTCTCAAGTTTAAAAGAAGGGTGCAAGGATCACAGAGCTGCATGACAAATATTTCTGATTCTAAAGGATCAAGACCACCGTTCAAATGATATTCAATGCCAAATCGAAACTGCTTGTAACAGAATTTCGGGTATGAAGGACACTAACAAGCTTTCATCATCCAAACCATGGTAGATAAGTGCAGAGAAAAACGAGTCTTTAGGAGCTCAGCATTTATTCCTTTTGCCCTGCCTTTGTTTGAATAATTTCCATGGAAAGAACGCCCAAAAATAGTCGCTTAAAATTTTGTCTTGTTTTATGTTTATTTGGTATGAGGCTATGAGCCTAAGATCCATCAAGCCTTGGTAAGTTACAGACTCTTACATTGTTAATTAGGTGATGTTCTTGGAAGAACAAAAGATAATTCAATGAAGCTTATAACCACAAGTCAAACCACATGCCTGAAGATCTAATATTTGGATAATCTCGACTTGAGCTTGAAGATCAATATCAGTGCTTGAAATGTGATTAGATGACTTTCTAGATCATAGGTTGTTAACTACAAACTAGTGGAAGCTGCAGAATCCACATGGGGGACCTAATATGCAAGGTCATTCAAAAATTAACATTCTTAAAGAGAAAGTGGGAAACTCTATGTATCACAAACACAGGCTGTAACATGAACAGAGCTCAGGCAATCACACATGACAAGGATATACACCGGCAAGCTATAAAAACAAAATTTCAACTTAGGCTTGATGGACATAGCAAGCACATAAAACAAAGATACGGATGGCTATGTCAAATCATAAATCTGCACAATTATACATGGCATCGCAAGCAAGCACGATAAAAAAATGCAATATTGCCCGACTTCTATTACAAACATAAGAAAATTAATAATTTGACTAGAAATACATGAAATCTCTGCAACAAAATACATGATTTAACAAACAAACAAAATAAATAAAAATATTGGCAGGATTTAAATATAGTCAACAGTATTTAACGATTAAAGAAAACTATCACTACAATTGCTTATACATAAAATCCCTATAGACCTACAAATATTCCATTAAAATTGTAAAGCTATGTAAGTTATCTAGATAGAGTTCCAGACACTAGAAACACAATTCTACTTGTAATTTGAATCGAATTTGTTACCATGACGAAGCTTTTTCGGCATTTCTTAAAGGCCAGCAGAACTACCAACCACTTCATCAGTACTCAATTTCACAAATACTAAAATTTATCCAATGAAAATATGTCACTTGGCAAAGAAAATCAAGCTCACGTTTTCATATCTTCTTTTGGGAGATTGTTGCACAACCGATCTTTGCATCTGGCAATATCTTCTCCGTTTAAGTTATAAGCGATAGTGAACCACACATTCTTCTACATTCCCCTATAATCACCAAAGGCCTACTTCACCAGCTACATGAAACTTACATGGATTAAAAAAAAAAAGTTTCCTTAGGCCTATGTTGGATGATGTAGGTCTTTGATACTAAAACCTATGCTCAACACTAAAATCTACACTCGGTGCTTTATTTGACATGCTTGTCAAACACATCTCTAACACGATACGATTAGATGACAGAAATGATTGTGAACATAATTATTCCATTAGCTGTCCCAAGCCAGGTGAGAGGCTAAACATGATAAAAATAAATTTTTTTGTTAATCTACTAACTATTTGACTGTAACTTCCAGTTCCATGCTCGTCCAAAAGTTTGGTCATTCCATGCAATATTTGTTCCTCGCACAACCAACACTCCTTTCTTTGTGCACAGTACATGTAGAAATTTGAGGTTTCAAACATACCAGAGATCAATTCCCTCACTCTTTCGTCTCTTCCATATGATGATTTCGTATGATTGACAAGCGAAATTCATGTATGTAACTCCCATAAGAAATGCATTATCATATCCTTCTCAATTGGAAAAATATTAGGGAAAATAATCAAACCAAAGTTCTTCCACTAGATGTTAGCCTTTTTACAATTTAGAAACCATAAAGCTAAAAAAACTTGGTGTATTCGTATAAGAGAGAATTCACTACATGCACGACATAACTGATGAGATAGTGTGCATTAGGAAGGGAAGATCATGATACTGTTATACATATGGTACTCAATTCAGCAATAGCACTCTGCTATCGAAAGCAAACAGAACAAGCGGAGTAATTCAATTCATGGCTGCCTTTAAAGATGATAGGGGGCATTGTCCTTGTAGAGTTTACATAAATGAATGTAAATCAGAATGTCGAGAGCAAATGCAATAAGTTTATACAATTACAATGACAGACATAGCTTTCTTCACAAATATGAAGTATATGCAAATATCATGCCTTATAACTCACATCCTTCTCTTTCTTTACTAAAGTTTTGAGCATGACTAAGCACCATAACGTATAACACAATCTAGACCATTTAACTAAAGTGCAAATAAGAAATTACACAACACAACCACCACCACCACAACCACCAAGCCCAAATGTTTGGGGTTGGCTACATGAATCCTATTTTTCCATTCCATTCTGTTAGGGGTCATCTCCTCTGTTAATTTAGTCTTAATCATATCATTCTTAATTGCTCATAACCAAGTCATTCTAGATCTACCTCTAGATCTCCTAGCCGCATTAACTCTAATATTATCGCTTTTCCTAATCGGTGTACTAAGGGGTCTTCGTTGTACATGACTAAACCATCTTAATCTATTTTCTCTCATTTTATCCTCAATAGGCGCAACGTCTAATTTACTACAGATGCACTTATTTATTATCCTATCTTTTAATGTATACTCACATGACCATTGCAACATTCTCATTTCTGCTACACTCATTTTTTGAACATATTTTTTAATTGCCCAACACTCTGACCCATAAATCATAGTTAGTCAACCGTCCTATAAAATTTTTCCTTTAGTTTCATTGGTATTCTATGATCACATGAGACTCCCAAAACACTCTTCCATTTTAACCAATTTGATGCACAACATCATCCTCTATCTCACTATCATGCCTAATTATTAATCCTAAATAGCGAAAATGATTAGTTTTAGGTATTTCTTGGTCATCAATTATGCATCATAGGCTTTCTTCCTTTCCTAATTTTACTAAAAATGCACTCAATATATTCTGTTTTTGTTCTACTAACTCTGAAACCTTTAGATTCAGGAGCTTGTCTTCATCTTTCTACTTTAAAAATAATGTCTTTTCTAGTTTCATCAACTAATACTATATCATTGGTAAATAACATATACCATGAGATTTTATCCTGAATATACTTAGTAAGTTGGTCCATAACTAATACAAAAAGATAAGAACTTAAAGCTAACCATTGGTGTAAACCTATGGAAATAGAGATTTGTTTAGTTTCTCCTTTATTAATTTTTACTCTATCATACATATCTTTAATCACATTAATATATATACTAAATACATGTTTCTATCTCACCATCATGCCTAACTATTGATCCTAAATAGCGAAAATGATTAGTTTTAGGTATTTTTTGACCATCAATATGTACCATATGCTCTCTTCCTTTCCTAACTTTACTAAAAATGCACTCCATATATTCTGTTTTTGTCCTACTAACTCTGAAACCTTTAGATTCAAGAGTTTGTCTCCATCTTTCTACTTTAAAAATGTCTCTTATAGTTTCACCAACTAATACTATATCATCGGCAAATAACATATATCATAGGATTTCATCTTGAATGTACTTAGTAAGTTGGTCCATAACTAATACAAAAAGATAAGGACTTAAAGCTAACCCTTGGTGTAAATCTATGGTAATAGAAAATAGTTTAGTTTCTTATTTATTAGTTCTTACTCTAGTTGTTACTCTATCATACATATCTTTAATCACATCAATATATATACTAAATTCATGTTTCTTTTTAACATCTACCACATTACCTCTCCACGCACTCTATCATAAGCTTTTTCTAGATCGATAAAAACCATATGTAGATCATTAGATCCTTTCTCTTCTCTATATCTCTCCATCAACCATCTCAAAATATATATAGGTTCCACAGTTGACCTGTCAGGCATAAAACCAAATTGATTTTTAGATATACTTGTCTCTTTTTTTAGTCTTTGCTCATCCCAAAGTTTCATAGTATGACTCGAAAGTTTTATACCTCGATAATTTAAACTTTGTATATCCCCTTTATTCTTATATATCAGTATCAAAGTACCAATCCTCTACTCCTATGAAGCACTGACACGCATAACATGAAACCGATTCGTGTCCGTGTCGGACACACATGTCGAACACACGTATCCTATGTATTTTGTAGGATTTGCCTCGTGTCGGCGTGTCGGATGGCCGTGTCGGATCCGTGTCCGTGCTACATAGCTCTACTCATCCGACATTCTTTTCATCTCGATAATCTTATTAAATATTTCAGTTAACCATCCTAAGCCTATATCTTCAAGACATTTTCAAACTTCAATAGGAATATCATCCGGTCCTACAGCTCTTCCATTTTTTATTTTGTTTAAAGCATTTTAACCTCACTAATCCTAATTTTTTAACAATATCTATAGTTCCTATCATTCACTATGTGGTCAAAATCTTTATTTTGCTCACTTATTTAGTTATCATTAAACAATTGATAAAAGTAACTCATCCACCTCTCTTTTATTTTCCCATAGGTCACTAGAACTCTTTGATCCTCACTTTAATACATCTAACATTACCCAAATCTCTACTCTTCTTTTCTCTAATCTTAGCAAGCTTGTATATCTTTCTCTCCCTCTTTATATTAAAACTTATTATAAAAAATTTCATAAGCCTTGTATTTATTCTCACTAACCACTTTTTTCCTTCCTTCATTACTAGTTTATATTTTTCTAAGTGTTTCCTACTCCTACACTTTTGCCACTCTTTTTATAAAGTTTTCTTCTCTCTAATAACATTTTGCACACTCTCATTCTATCATCAACTCTCATTACCATCTAATCTACAACATTTAAATTCTCCTAGTATATTTTTAGCCACTTTCCTAATATAAATAGACATGTTATTCCACATATTATTAGTCTCATTATCTATGTTTCATAATCTTCTTCATTATCTTATCTTTAAAATGTATTAAATTCTCTCCTTTTAAATTCCACCATGTAGTTCTTAGTCTCTTGTTCACGTTAATTTTTCCACTCTCCTTTTTAATAGATATGTTTAAGATCATCAATCTATGTTGTGTACTTAAACTCTCTCCTAGTATAACTTTACAATCTTTGCATATTAACCTATCCGTCATTCTAGTTAGAAAAAAGTTTATTTGACTATTATTAATCACTTTTAAAGGTAATTAAGTGTTCATCCCTTTTTCTAAAAAAGTGTATTTGCTATTATCAAATCAGATATTGCAAAATCTAAAATTGATTTACCCATATCGTTCTTATTTTCATACCCGAAACCTCCATGTATCCTCTCATATCCGTTATTATCCTTACGAACATACCCATTAAGATCCCGTTATTATCCTATAAATAATTTTTCTCTAAATAGAATTCCTTGTACTAATTCATCTAATTTATCCTAAAATTCCCTTTTAGTACTCTCGGGCAAGTCTATTTGTGGTGCCTAAGTACTAATAATATTAATAATATCTACACCTAAGACAGCTTTTATTAATATTATTCTATTTCCAACTCTTCTTACCTCAAGGTTGAAAATGAACCAAATAACTAACAAATAGTTTGATAAATATTCGAGTAACTATTCGACCATATTCAATAGTTTATTTACCACTAAACAAATATTTTTTAGTATTCAAGTTTACTAATGAATAGAATTTAACCAGATGATATATTCGATTCGTTTGTCTATCAAATATTCATTTAAAATTTGATCACTTATTATTTGTATTATTGCACGTATGATGTCATATTTTTAACTCATTTACAATTTCTACTTAAGTTTTATGTACTAATTTTAAGACTTAAATAATCTTAAATCTGTTTTCTTATAAAATTTTTGATTTAAATATATATACATCATATATCATAAAGCAATATTTTTATTTATAAATTTAAATACTATTTAAAAATCACATTCTTCAGCGAAATAAATATAATTTGATATTCGATAAGTATTCGTGAATATTCATGAATATTTATCAAATACCAAATATTTGAGTTCGAGTTCGAAAAACTCCATATATGGATATTAGAGTCCGCATCCGAATTCGATAATTTTAAACAAAGACGAATACGAACACCTTAGTATTCAATTCGACTAGTTTGCGGTCCGTGCAAAGCACGGTATTTTTTTGCTACAGTAATCCCATTTTTTAATATGGCTTGATTTGAATTTTTAAAAGTGCTACAGTATCCCGCTCTGATACAGTACCTTTAAATGCTACAGTATACCATGTGCTACAGTAACGTTTTTAATTAATTATTAGCTGCAGTAATAATGCTACAGTAAATGCTACTGTAGCATTTACTGTAGCATGAACAGTGAATCTCTGATCCTTCTATTTGTATAAAGGAATAGATTCGATCGTTTACCACCCCTACTTACCTCTACAATACTTTCTTTATTATATTATCTACAAGAACTCCCACTCCATCTCAATTCTTCTCTTTTTTCGTGTACCAAATTTATATCCGATCTTTTCAATTTCTCTAGATTTTTCACCTATCCATTTAGTTTCTCGTAAATAAATTATATTTATCTTTCTTCTACGCATGACATCCACTAATTCCATTATCTTTCCGGTAAGTGTACCTATATTCCAAGTAGCTAATCTAATTCTATTTTCTTGTACAAATCTCCTATCATTTTCCCTCTTAAACCGTTCCAGTCTATGCTTAATATTATTAGGTAACCTATTAGAGGATTGTAGATTCTTAGAACACTCATTCTTACTTGTCATTACACAAAGGTGACATCGATGTAATGTGTCACTTCCAGGGGACGCCCTAGCAAACCTACATTGCTTACTTATCATTGCATCGGGATGACATTGATGCAACGCGTCGCGATAGGGACGCCCCAATGAGTATATAATAGAATTTATTTTTCATATAGATCCGACTATGTTTCACGCCGGCTATCAGCTACCTAACACAACCCTCCTCCTTTATCCAGGCTTGGGACAGATAGTGCTAACAATAAACACAACACTTGCGTAGTTGCAAATAAGAACTTAATACAAAAATCAAATTTACCTAGCGGCCAAGGAAAGATGGCAATCCAGACCCAGAAGTCCCTAGACTCGATTGGTTCTTCAGCGCAGGACTCGTCGATTGCGACTGGTAACCTGCTAATCCTTGCAATGCCGTCTGAGACTGATAACCCCCTAACCCTGGCAATGCTACTTGAGACTGATAAGCCCCAATCACACTGGGGCTTACAGTATTAACCCCTCCTCCCCCAACTCCATATGAACTCAAGCTCATAGCATTAGTCCCCCCTCCTCCAACTCCATATGAACTCGGCATCAAACTCCTATTCATCGGCGACGAAATCCCCACTGCCGGATTCAACAAACCCCGTACCGGATTAGTCAAACCAGACCCGATGCATAGTTCAATGCAAGATCAGTTGGTGGCAATGGGCTCACTGCTGGCAATGGACTCGCTGCTGCCAATGGGCTCGCTGCTGGTATTGAAGGTGTCAGGCCCTGCACCTTCAGCTTCACCCCTTCATTCGCCGCCGGCTTGCACTTCAAAACAATCCCTTCGAAAGCCTTCATCGGCTCCTCCAAGGCCTTCTTGCATCCCTCTGCCGTCTTATACACAAAAATAGCATACCCATTAAACTTTCCGTTAGCCAGAAGCCCGAAAGGCCCCTCTTCAATCTCCCCAAACTTGGCGAAAAACCCCTTCAACCTCTCCGGGTTCACATCAGGCCCGACATTCCCCACAAAAACCTTTCTCGAATCAGCATTGTGACCCAAGGAAGCCAACTGGCAGGACGTGGCGGCCACATATCTTGTTGGGCTCTTTCAATCCTTTCTCGCAGCCTGCCGAACCTTGAAGCAGTGACAAGCCGTAGCCTTGCATCGTCCCGGTGACGTGTCGGACGACGGCTATGCATTCCTCGAGGATCCCGAAGGTCCTGAAGGCGGCGCTAGGGTTTCTGCTGGTAGCAGTCCCAGGAGACGCCTGGACGAAGATCTACGCGTGGGCAGGGCGGCGGAGTCGGCGGAGGCGGCAGATGCGGGCAGAGGAGGCTTTCGGCCGCGGCGGATTTGAGGAGTCCGATAGCTGGTCTTTGGACAAGGGTTCGAGCTTGGTTAGGGTTTCACGGTCTCGTGAGATCTTCTTCCCTTCCTCCTCCCGATGTCATTCTTCCGATCCTTCTTCTTCTTTCTTCGCGACCAAAAAACTCTCTTCATCTTCTCTTCGGATTCGTCTTCAAATTGCTTCTTCTTCTTCTTCTTCTTTGATGGGTTCGGGTTCGGGTTCGGGTTCGGGGTGTTTTGCGGAGGAGGGGAGCTTTCTCCTTCTGCCCATGGGAGCGATTTTAGGGTTAGGGTTTTGGGTGGGGTTTTTTTTTTTTGGGTGGAGATGATGAAGAAAGAGTCTCCCTCTTTGGTTTTATTAGATCCCTTCGAATGATTGCCAGCCGTCCGATCGATGTTCAATCTCTTGCCTGAATGTTTTACGCGTCGGTGATCTTTGCCTTCGTTAAATCGCAAAAGGGTACTCCATTCAAACTTAATGGGTCCGAAAAAAAAAAGGAAAAAAGCCACATTCTATAAGTTAGAAGGGAAAAATGTGTCCAGACCCCAAAAACAATAACTTCATGTGCTGCAGCCCCTCCTAGTTTCCCCCATGTGGTTCAGCCCCTTGAAGTGTGACATTTTGTGCTGCAGCCCCTTTTTAACAATAATTACATGTCAACTAAGCTAAAATCCCCAAAATAACCTTATCCCTTCTTCTCAATCCTTCAAACCCAGTTCTCTCTCTATCCAAAGGGGGTTAAGTTATTCGAAAAAGAATCTCTTCCAATCATACCCCCCCCCTCTTTTCCCCATGATCATAGATCCTTTTTAGGCCAGCAGTTAAGAATAAGGCCCTATTGGATGAGAACGGTGTTAGTTCTAACACGCGGCTACAGTGTTAGTTCTAACAAGTTAGTTCTAACACGCGGCTACAGTGTTAGTTCTAACACGCGGCTACAGTGTTAGTTCTAACACGCGGCTACAGTGTTAGTTCTACGCGGGTACAATGTTAGTTCTAACACGCTACAGTGTTAGTTCTAACACGCTACAGTGTTAGAACTAACACGCTACAGTGTTAGAACTAACACTGTAGTGTGTTAGAACTAACACTGTAGCCGCGTGTTAGAACTAACTTGTTAGAACTAACACTGTAGCCGCGTGTTAGAACTAACACTGTAGCTTGTTAGAACTAACATTGTAGCGTGTTAGAACTAACACTGTAGCCGCGTGTTAGAACTAACTTGTTAGAACTAACACTGTAGCCGCGTGTTAGAACTAACACTGTAGCGTTTAAGTCTCCTGATACTTCTCCCATTCCTTTGTAGGTGGTTTCATTTATGAAAGAAATTGGTTTTGATGGCAGAACCATAGGGAGAATATTATGTCGCTGCCCAGAGATATTTTTTGCTAATGTCGACAATACTCTCAGGAGGAAAGTACAATTCCTCACAGATTTTGGCATCTTGAGAGGTCAACTTCCTCGTGTTATTCGAAAGTATCCCGAGCTTCTTCTGTTAGACATCCATCAAACTTTATGTCCAAGGTATAAAAAGTGTCATGCTTATGAAGTTCTCTAACGTTTATGTAATAAACATCATTTATGTTATTTTCCTTGAAGTTTTAGTTTCAAATGTGGAATTAGTCATATTACTTTACTCCATGCACGACTCTTTCCTGCTTATTCTGCATATGAGGCCAAGTTTTTTGTGGAAAGATCGGATCATATACCTTCTTGTGCCCAAATGCAGAACATGGTGCTCCCAATACAGGATTTTTGGTAAGATCGTTAGTGCACCAAGTAGACTTACTTCATTCTTTAATAAATTTATGGGGTTAAACTTGTAATTAGGTTTGTATGCCCGAAAATTCCATTAGGTCAATTACCATCAATTATTTCCCCCCAAAACCCCAGATCAATTATTTTTTTCTGTAAAAAATCAAATTAGTGCGTGTTAGTTCTAATCTGCACAGTGTTGGTTCTATTCCGTAGAGTGTTAGTTCTAATCTGCACAGTGTTAGTTCTGTTCTGTAGAGTGTTAGTTCTAATCTGCACAGTGTTAGTTCTATTCTGTAGAGTGTTAGTTCTAATCTGCACAGTGTTAGTTCTATTCTGTAGCGTGTTAGTTCTAATCTGCACAGTGTTAGTTCTATTCTATACCATGTTAGTTCTAATTTATACCATGTTAGTTCTAATTTATACCACGTTAGTTCTATTTTATACCATGTTAGTTCTAATTAATAACAAGTTAGTTCTATTTTATACCACGTTAGTTCTAATTTTAACCATATTAGTTCTAATTTATAACAAGTTAGTTCTAATTTATAACAAATTAGTTCTAATTTATACCACGTTAGTTTTAATTTATACCAAGTTAGTTCTAATTTATACAATGTTAGTTCTATTTTATACCAAGTTAGTTCTATTTTATACTCCATGACAAAATCCAAGCAAAGATAAGAATACCAACATTAAACTTAGACTGCCTGATACTTTTGTACAAACCAATTTAGACTGCCTGATACTTAGTCTTATGTGTACAAACCAATTTAGACTGCCTGATACTTTTGTAGGTATATAATGAAAAGACTGAAGGGAGTTTTTGTAACATTTCAAGGACCAATCAAAATTTCTCAATTTATCATAGAACACATGACATCAAGCGGCATTAAGTCAAATTTTGATACACGAAACTTTTTGCAGGTCTGCATCTATAAGAAATCCAAATTATTTTGCCGGCGTAGTAAAGGGCGAGACGGGGAGCGACGGCGAGCTACCGCGACGAGGTCGGGCGGAGGAGAGGAGGGGAGGCCGCGGCGGCGAACTCGGGGGAGGCTTGGGGGCCTGGGGGGGGGGGGGGGCGGCGAGGAGGGCGAGGGCCAGAGCGACGAGCTTTAGAAAGCCCTTGTTTTTAAAGAGAGAG